AGTTACATATGTTGCAGCAGTGATAATACATGGTTAATACAAACGCGGCTCATTACGCGGCAACTACAAATGTATATTTATACACTCAGAACCAGTTTTCACATATATACTAGTACATCTCTAGCTATGCGCGTAGTGAATTGCTTTTGTTTTCTAACATCGCTGCTTTGCAATATAGCATTGATTAATGCAACTATATCGATATTTATTTGTTTATGCAAAATGATCCCCTTACTAAATTTTGATTGCCACAACCAGATCACGCGCAACTTCATTAATGTAGTTGATACACCAAAGTAAGTCAAATCAATCATACACATAACTATTATACAAAGATATGTAGAATGATGCAGCTATTTGCTTACAATTAAATATTTTTTGTTAGGTGCACTACATCTCTTTTTTCCGTGTGTGTATGAGTGTGTGTGAATATAAAATTTTACCCTGATTGCAACTGTCTATTATATTAAAACATACCTGTGAAATAATAGTCTTTTACCATTTTTACGTTCCCATTCTAATTGTATTTTATTTTTTCGGTTGCTTGGTTTTCCGTCTTTTACAATGTTTCGCGTAACAATCCGGCATCTTCTACTACGAAATATATAGTCCTATCCATAAGGACCTTTCACCACAAAGGTTAAAATCTTCTATATATATACATATGTCATATATACAGGGTGAGCCAAATGTATGGATACACCGAAATAAATTTTCAGGACAAGATTTTCGGAAAAAGTGACCTAAACAAAAGTTGCTCAACGCTAAAAGAACTATCTGCTGGTGATCTTGGATTTAACCTTGGCCCCAATCTTCAAGGTTATTTGGAGGTCAACTTTGTTTTTTTAAATAGAAAAATATATTTTTTATTACGGAATTTTATTCTACATAAAAAATAACTTTTGTTTGAAAAACTTTTTTATACGATCTTTATTTTCTAAGATATTTACGGAAATATTTACAAAATTATTGGTTTTAATAATTTTTTACTCGAATTCTACCAACTTTATCGAAAAATAACAAGAGATAAAAATTACCTGTTTTCTTTTCATAGAGCTTTGAGAATTTTTTCAGAATTTTCTAATTAATTTTTTAATAATGCAATTTTTGTATTTTCTTGACGTATTAAAAAGTATACTATTTATATATTTATATAAAATTTTGAAAAAATTCTCAGAGCTCTATGAGAAGAAAATAAACAATTTTTATCTCTTGCTATTTTTCGGTAAAGCTGATAGAATTTGAATAAAAAATTATTGAAACCAATAATTTTGTAGATATTTTCGTAAATATCTTAGAAAATAGAGGTGGTATAAATATTTTTTTCAAACAGGAGTTGTTTGTTTAATTACGTAGAATAAAATTCTATAATAAAACATACATGTTTCTATTTAAAAAAGCAAAGTTGACCTACAAATAACCTTGAAGTTTGGAGTCAAGGTTATATCCAAGGTCACCAGCAGATAGTTATTTTAGGCCCGAGCAACTTTTATTCAGGTCACTTTTTCCAAAAATCCTGTTCTGAAGATTTATTCGTGTGTATCCATACATTTGGCCACCCTGTATATATGTTACTTTTGATCACCAAAGATGGTCGCGACGAAGATTTCCCCTCACCGCGCTGACTTCACACCCCGCGCCTATAAAAATACGCTCCGTTCAGATATTCCTACGTCCATGTTTCCCGCGCTCGCGAGCGTTCCTGCATCTCGGAGGTTGCGGTCTCGCGCTCCCCTCGTCCGGCAGCTCGACAACGGCCGTATAATGGCCGGTTTACACGGAGCAGTCAGTAGTCGGGGCGAGTCAACTAGCAGGTTGCCCGGTTAGCCGCTTAACTCTTTTACGAGCGGGAGCGAGTGGCCGAGCGACGACGAACGCTGTTCGCGGAGTCGCTCCGAGCGAGTCCAGTCTTTGAACGAGACGATGACGACGAGAGTCGTGATTATGCTAAGCGAATGCGTCTAAACCGTCATTTTCGTTATCTCGTGATTCCGCTCCGGCGGCGTTTTAATGCGGGGCCGATAAACGGCGAATGTGACGCTAATAAGCCCGATGAAATCTAGCGGAACGTATACGGTATCGATGAGCGATAACGGCAATACCGACTGTGATAATTGACGATTGGTTGGCTGTAAACGTACGCAAGAATGATCCTATCCTCACAGAGTACGTTTCAAGAAAAAAAATGAAGGTGAAAATTCGATACATGCGATACAAGGCAAGCGAGTCGAATGAGCTCTCTACACGGAGAAAAATAATTTTACTCTTTTAACAAAATCGTCGTTGCTACTGCCAGTGGCGTAGCCAGGGGGATAGGGCTGAGGGGGCTGCAGCCCCCCCGAAATAATTTCTGGATAATCATTTTCGGAATTACGCTAAGTGTGAGAAAAATTTTCGAATGAAAAATTATTTTTGCTCGTCAAAAATAAAGTGTAGCCCCCCCCCCCCCGAAACTTTTTTCTGGCTATGCTACTGGCTACTGCATATTCGTAGTGACAAAAAAATTTAGTTGATGTAACTAATTTTACAAATTATTCGTTATCAGAGCAGAAGTAGTTTCGTTGCCAGAAAAAATTGACTGTATTTATCCTAAGAATCACGTTAATTTATTATTGATGTAAAATAATGTATCCTTAGCAAATTTATTTTATCGGAGCAAAACTGCAACTGCTTATATAAATCAATCATGATTCTTATAACAAAATAATTTATAGATACAGCAAATTATATCCAGCAAATAGTGATTAGTACTCTTAGCAAATCTTTTTTGCTGCCCATATAATAACGAAAAAATTTTGTTAGACTAGCAGAAAATTTGCTGGGCCAGCAAATTATTTTTCTCCGTGTACAATCAATAGGGAAATAGTGAAAGGTCAATAAGAGCCATCGCGGATATCGGTGAGGAATTTTTATATTGGGAGAAAAAAAATAATGTTTTCGCGCGAATATTGATCTTCCTCCGCTTTATTCGACTGCATTTTTCAGAACCTACCAAAATACACTTCGAACTCTTTACATTCGAGGATATACGTTTGCGCTGTCAATTTCGACTATCTGAGTATTCTGGTGTTTCGGATTTCACCTAGATATCCATATACCACTCGGGAATACTCACACGGAAAAAAATAATTTGTTGCAGCAGCAAATTAATTTGCTACATACGGTCAGTTAAATATAATTCGCTGTGTTAGTTACTTTTTTTGCTGCAGAAATCTATTTTCTTGCTATGATAGTAAGAAAATGTGTTCCTACAGCAAAAAAAGTGGCCAATGTAGCAAATTTATTATAGATGGACAATTAAACATAATTTAATGCTTTAGCTACTTTTTTGTTGTAGGAGCAGATTTTCTTGTTATCTTAGCAAGAAAATTGCTAAGATGCTGCTTTTCTTGCAAAGAAAAATATAATTTGCTGCAGTAGCAAATTAATTTGCTACATACGGACAATTAAATATAATTTGCTGTGTCAGCTATTTTTTTTTGCTGCAGAAACCTATTTTCTTGCTATGATAACAAGAAAATGTGCTCCTACAGCAAGAAAAGTGGCCAATGTAGCAAATTTATTACAGATGGACAATTAAACATAATTTAATGCTTTAGCTACTTTTTTGTTGTAGGAGCAGATTTTCTTGTTACCTTAGCAAGGAAATTGCTAAGATGCTGCTTTTCTTGCAAAGAAAAATATAATTTGCTGCAGTAGCAAATTAATTTGCTACATACGGACAATTAAATATAATTTGCTGTGTCAGCTATTTTTTTTTGCTGCAGAAACCTATTTTCTTGCTATGATAACAAGAAAATGTGCTCCTACAGCAAGAAAAGTGGCCAATGTAGCAAATTTATTACAGATGGACAATTAAACATAATTTAATGCTTTAGCTACTTTTTTGTTGTAGGAGCAGATTTTCTTGTTACCTTAGCAAGGAAATTGCTAAGATGCTGCTTTTCTTGCAAAGAAAAATATAATTTGCTGCAGTAGCAAATTAATTTGCTACATACGGACAATTAAATATAATTTGCTGTGTCAGCTATTTTTTTTTGCTGCAGAAACCTATTTTCTTGCTATGATAACAAGAAAATGTGCTCCTACAGCAAGAAAAGTGGCCAATGTAGCAAATTTATTACAGATGGACAATTAAACATAATTTAATGCTTTAGCTACTTTTTTTGTTGTAGGAGCAGATTTTCTAGCAAGGAAATTGGCTCCTGCAGCAAAGAAAAAGTGGCTAATACATAAATTATATTTAGTTGTCTATATGTAGTAGATCTCTTTTTTTCCAGATACTCAAGTAATCAAAAGTGACAACACAAACCTTTATCGACCGATTCCTTACAATCAAGTGCAGCTCACGTATCTTCTTCCTTCACGTCTCTCTCTCTCTCTCTCCCCTCTCTCTCTCTCTCTCTTTCTCTCTCTCTCTCTCTCTCTCTCACTCTTTTCCCCTCATTTTTTTCTCTCTCCTCTCTGCTGCGATGCACGACATGATGGCGCTTTTACGTCACGCGACACATAATACTCGAGCAACAACAACTGCCGCGTTTTCAAGAGCGCTCGAAAAAGCATTCACGGATTAATACACCTGCGCGCTCGCAAATTATGCGGAGAAGATGTGAAAGGAGCAGCGAAATCTTGCTTCTACTGATCGAAATCAATGAAATATGAGATAGAGCAGTAAAGCGGGAGTACTTCCACTGAAAATCAGTGAATATTCACTGATTATTTGGGAAATACTTCTCTTAGGGCCGGTTGTTCTAACTTCTTGGTAAGTTAACTAATAGTTAAATCGTATGTCGTTTTTCCTCCAAATTCCTCTAAATCGACAAAGGCAGATATATGATTTAACTATCAGTTAATTTACTTTAAAAGTTGGAACAACTGGTCCGTACTGATTCAATCAGAAGCATTTTTACTAATTCACGTTAAGAGAGTAGGATTATCAGAGTGGCAGACTTTTACTCTTTTTACCTTCCTTTTTGAAAAATTCCACACGGATTCCCGTGTGGAATGGCCGACGCGGCCACGGCATTCCGGGCCGCGTACGCTAAAATACGACCGCATGATTTTGGTCGCGCGAACGCATTTATTATACTTGGCATGACACACAGCCGTACTCAACGTTAAACGCGCGGGAGGATGACGTTGAAGGCGCACGAGAGCCCGAGTTGACGGATCGGCCGGGCGCGAATTATCGGCGACGGCGGCAACGTTATTGGCCCCCGGGAATTATATCTTGTTTCGGTCATTACGACCGACGTGTTCGATCAAGTCGATCGAGAGGCTGCACGCGCGCTCTTTTGCCGCTGGTGATGAAAATCCAATCCCTCCCTTCGCTCCCTCTTTCTTTCTCTCGCGGGTCCCGTTGCGTGAGAATTTTTCTGCCGCCTGCCCTCGCGTCATCTCTCCTCGTCTCGGAGCACCGAGCTCGGAACGAAGGACCGTGAACACTTCGATGGAGACGACCGTGAACCTCGTCGGTTATCTCGCGCGTTAATGAGACAGCGAGCTCCGTATCGGCGCCGGGAATTAGGCCGACTCGGGCTAATTGCCTGCGACGATGAATAATCGCGCTGCTCGTTAAGGGGATGCCATACTTGAGAGCTTCACCGACGGAATGTTGATGAAATGTTCTTTCCTGCAGAGTTTGCATCGTGAATTACAAGTGCTTTTGTACAGTGAGAATATGCGCAAAAATGAATTCGGGTCATCGCTCAGTGTGTCGCAAAAACGATAAGGGATTTCAACCATTCGCAGCTCTATTAATTAACGTGAATATTTGTCTGATACTAAAGTTCTGTAGTTCTTATACACACTGAGAGGAAGCCAAGGAAAAAGCAGCACTGACATCTTCATTTTCAAATTGAAATCCTGCATTATGCTTGAAATATTCCTTATATTAGTAAAAAATTCACTTATAACCTTCTTATAATATTAATATGGTTCGGATAAAAATAGCTAATTGCAGCGAAAACTACAAGACACGCTTCAACCCAACGTCCTGGCGTCTTTTTAGAAGGTTAAACGATTTAAATATTCGAGCTAACACACAGCTTCTGAATCCTGAAGGGAATCACTTAACGTAGGAATAAAAATTAATGACATTCTCACCAGAGGCTGTACACGCTTATCCACAACTGTCGGTTCGGTTGTGTCGTTTTATAATATATGATATAATCATATCATAAAACAGCTGCGCAACAATATATCGAATTTTGCAAAAAATTTTACGTAAACTCTGAGAATAACTAAGAAACAAATTCTATTGAATTCTATTGAATGCAGAATGCGTTACGGAACTGGTGGTGCATTTAATTAGCCGACTGCACAAGAAACACGAGAGGATAGTGTGATCGTATCAACGTTTATCCGACATAATATTACGTTTTGACGACCGTCAAAACGTGTACAGTCTCTGATGAGAATGCCATTAATTTTCATTTCTACGTTAAGTGATTCTCTTCAGGATTCAGAAGCTGTGTGTTAGCTCGAGAATATTTGAGTCGTTCAACCTTCTAAAAGACGCCAGGACGTTCGGATTGAGGCGTGTCTTGTAGTTTTCGCTGTACTTCGTTATTTTTATCCGAACTATGTTAATATTATAAGGACATTATAAGCCCACGTTATAGACATTTTGAGACTCACCCACTTTGGCATCCTCTTAACGTCGTGCCGCGGTCATCCACGGTCTCTTCCCCAGACACTGACTCCGTCTGGACCCCTCATCGCTTCTCGCGGAATGCATCGAAAGCAAGCGAAAGGTCGCCGAGCGGCCGATATCGCGATCAACAGCTCGCTCGTTATGCGACATACGTCGCGGGGGGTGCGGACGTCACAATGGGGAAACACAATACTCCCGACGCGCTGGGATTATTACCTAATGTAGCGAACGGCGAGCACACGTCGCTCTTACGTAACCAGACGAGACAGGTGCGAACGAGCAATCTCGCAGTTTCATGCGAGATGCGTTCCCTCGGCGTCTCTTCCGGCACGAAGAGGCATCGGGAACGCTGTCTGCTCCACGTCGATTCTCTCGAATCGAGTCGTTCACCGAGTTATATTTGGGATAAAGTGTAGGCGATCACCTCTGACCATTGTTATCAGGTAAAGATGTTGGCCGCATTCAGTAATTCACGATCATGAAACCTTTTCCCGATAGCGAGAACGTTGAAAGTGAAAAGTGTCACGTGAATTTGACGACCTTAACCTCTTGAGTGTGTATGTATCATATGTGTACAGAAAAAGCACGTGCC